GAAAAAAGATGACAGGAAAAAGTTAAGAAAGGACCACTAGAAAGATTACAGGCTAAAAATCAAGAAAGTTTTGAAGAAATTAGGTTGACTGGTTTTCCGAGGAAAAAATAAAGCATGACTGGTGGTCTACAATGTCACAAACAGAGATATGTGGTCTCGCACCATATCAATACATGTTTCTCATCAAAATTTCATGTAAAATACCATAAAATCAACTATTAAAGAAAGAACAAAGGCTCTACAGATCTGACATAGGGACAGTACTGCATCTCTGTAGGAAAACACGTTTAAAGATGCTACATTTCTCAATTCTCGGTCTTGCGCTCCTCAAAATTGGAATTTATAAAATTGGATTTTTAAAACCGGATTGAGCTAAGGAGATTGTAAAAAACACATAGGCACCTAATACAATCTAGACCGTGCATTGACCTTGCCTTCACGCTGGTAACGTAAGAGTAAGACAGCTAGGAAGATCTAAACGCTCTTCCACGTAAACCGCTTCAACCTAGTAAAATCCAAGTAGGCTCTGCATCTGTTTTCCTTAAGGTTGTTGCTGATTCCCCAAATTTTCCAGAACTACATGCAATCCAGATTACTTACCTATCGTCTCATCAAAAGAGCTGTATACACTATCTAGATTGAGTCATATGTTGATGGTTTCACATGTAGGGTCTTTTGGACTTGAGATGCATATTATTGCATATTCTAATTAAGTCATGTTTGTATTCTGCTGCACGTTGATTGTATCTTACTTTGCATCACTGAGCAACTGGAGAAATATGAGGAAATACAGCTAATTAGTTTTGGGGCTTACTTGACGAAACGGTGCGTGAGGATCTGGCTCTGCAAGAATATATCTGTAGCCATCTTTATTGTACGGGTGTTCCAGAGGGTAACCATGAGCAGGTAATTTGGGAGCATTGACGTCTCCAGCGAGTCTACCTTTTTTCCCCCCGCCCTGTCCAGTGTCTGCTAGTTTCCGTTTGCCACCTCTGCCTTTCATGCCACCTCCGCCTGAAGGGCATCAAGGAAAAAAGATGAATCACTGTAATGGAATTTCACTCAGAATAACACCTGCATTCAGATATCTAAAAGAGTCAAAATTAGTAATTACATCACACAAAACAAACCTTACAATGTTAGTTAAAAACTAATGGGAGGGAAAAATGAGAGAGGAGTGGGGACCTTTCAGTCCAGTTGAGATAAAGAAGTTTGTTTCAAATTCTGGATAAGATTAGACACTTATCAAATAATGATCACTTAACTTTTGATAAAAGGAATTAATGGGCACATGAAAAGTCTGAAAGAAATGAAATTCTGATTAACTGTGATTTCATGGATTCAATTTAATCAATCAATGAAAAATAAAAACAAATGCAATCCATCCTTCCTCCTCCAAGACTTTCATTTTTCAAAATGTCATGAGTCTCCGACTGCATCGCAGTAATTGTTTCAGTCGCTGCCTGCTTTTTGTCTCCAGATCATGCAAGAGAATGCTACAAAACAAGTATGTTTCCATTTTTCATTAAACTGACTTGACCTCCTCCTATTTTTCATAATTTATAAAAGATAGTTAATAATTCTTGTTCTTCTCTTCTCTGTTCCTCCAATCAGTCTTACTTTGATTTGCTTTTTCATTACTCTCTCTCACTCCAAGCTGAGCACTAAAGTTAATCTCTCATTTGCAAAACTAAACATTTTTGAGCTTTCTTAGTGAGTTTTCTCAGGAACATAGAGGAAAAGGTTAAATAAAGTAATTATTTGAATGTCAGCTTGCACTTCATTATGAAGAGGAGCCTATGACGCAATTACATTGGATTTTTTCAACATACTTAAAAATTAATAGAAGAATAACCTGAGTATTGATTTTATGTCTAGACCAACTTAAATTTCTGATTAGAGGACTTGAAGGTTTCTATAGTTGGCTGTCTTCTCTCATTTTCAGGCCGTTTTTATTGTTACCATATAACAGAATACGTCTGGAGGAGGCTACCGCCACACATGACTCAAAATATAATTTATTAGGAAAATCGACATTATTATCTGATGCTAGAATAGTTAATATTAAAACAACCAGCTGTATAAAAGTTATAGATAGAATGTAAGCATAGAGAATAAACCAAATACATCTCTAGAAAGAAGAATCCTAAAAAATCGAAATTTGGTGAGTTACAAAACCTGCGTCAATGTCAACAAAAGGACTTTTTATGATTGAAACACACCTGGGGTGACGCCTCCGCCTTTCGTTTTGATTTCATCATAGCTGGGTCTGATTTGCGTTAAATCTGGCACAACTAGACTGTACAGAGGGCCGTCCTCTGATGAGTCCTCTTCAGCGTTAAAAAGTAGCTTTGTTTCTTTCATAAGACATTTCAAAATCTACAGAAATAAGGAAGAGAAAAATTAGATTACGGCAAGTGAACTTGGCAAGTAACTTTTGCAGGTTCAAATTACAAATTCAATCTTTTCAATCCTCTGAAAATGTGGAATATGATCATCAACCGGAAAAGGAACTTTTGAAAATAGAGACAAAAAAAAAAAAAA